GAAGAGGGTTCAAAAGATTCTAGACTATGAATTGACTATAGAAGAAATGCAAAATTCTTTAGATATTTGTATAAGACAAGTACCACAAGAAGAAAATTCAGACGAGATAAGAAGATTAAAAGACCAAAAGCCTGTGAAAATGACGAGCATATTGAAGAACCTAAGCCCATACATTACAAGCGAAATATCATCAGGATGGGCGGCAGATTAGGAAACGCACACGTCGATAAAGGCATAAAACACCTTCGTAACACTGGATCTGGCTGACGCACACCTGAAAACAATGCACGTTGGAATTAAACTTATGGTTGCATACCTCATGAGTAAATACTGGATCATTGGCTGCAAGAGTTTGGTGAAAAAGTACATACAAAAGATGTGTTACTTTGGCACGGTAATGTGCTACTAACAGACAACAACTGATGGGTGATTTACCTGAGCCTCGTGTGACTCAATCGGGTCCATTCTCTCGAAGTGGAATCGACTTTGCTGATCCAGTTTATGTGCTATTCTAAAGGAGGAGGTGCTAAAAGCAGGAAGGCTTACATACATTTAGAGATGGTGAGCAATTTAACATCTGATGCATTTATAGCAGCATTCAAACGTTTTTTTGCCAGCAGAGGAAGATGTAATGATATCTGTAGCGATGTGGAGAGAGCCAGGACTGAAAATGCCTGGACACGTAGCAGATCAATTAGCAAGTGATGGCATGAAATAGCATTTTACACCACCATACACACCACACTTTGGAGGACTCTGGGAGGCTGGTGTCAAATCAGTCAAGCAGCACTTACACAAATCGAAGCATGTCTAAATTCTCGGCCTTTGACACCGACATCCACAGATGTGGACACGAACGGCGATATAACCTGGACATTTCATAATTAGAGAAGAAATGCGGTCTGTTATCCAGATGGCAACATACTCAAAGACTGGTTCAAGCGTTTTGGAAACGCTGGCAGACTGAATATTTGTCCCGACTTATCAGCGACCTAAATGGTTAATGAGAACACGTGAGTTTAAGTTGGTGATATGGTATTGCTAAAAGATGAAGATTGGTGGTAGAGCCACGCAGCAGCTTTTGCCGGCGTGAAGTGGAAGCTCTGCTTCTGTATAACGTCTGGTGAGTGCTGGTGACCGGACGTCCAATTGCCCCCCCCCCCCCCATCAACATGGCAGCGGAATTAAATCATAGACTACCCTAGGAGGGTACCAGCACCCCTGGAGAATCCCTCGCTGAGCATCCACGACCATGCCACTCCACTCCTGAGCGTGGGTGCTCAGGCTGCCCCGCGTATTCTGTGGGTAGGGGGGGGGGGGCAAAATTCCGCTCAACACAATAACTGCTCGGGGCAAACTGAGCAACAAGACCAAGGCGACCCCTGCCACGCTATCCGTAAATTTCTGCAATATCAGGGGACTTCACTCGAACCTAAATGCCGTCCACTACCATCTCGAGACGGCGAAGCTGGCCTTGCTCTTTCTGACCGAGACGCAGGTGTCCTCTCCCGCTGATACTTCGTATCTCTCCTACCCGGGTACAAATTGGAACACACCTTTGTGCCTCGGGCTGGAGTTTGCGTATACGTCAGAGAGGACATCTCTAGGGATGGTCGATGTTGTAGAAACATCGATGATGACATCGATGTTGACATCGACAGCTCAACATCGATGTTCGATGTTTATCCTACTCAAAACATCGATGTTGGCCATTATCGATGTTTTTTGCACATGCATTTAATAGGATAGAATTAGATGAATAAAAAAAATGTCATCTTGTTTATGGTTTATAATTAATGAAATAAAAGAAATTAATAAACAATGTAGTATAAACAGTAATTAAAAAAATTTGGAAGAAGTTCACAAATATCTAATTCACTTGTTATATTGTGGAATATTTTTGCAGATTGATTGAAGAAATAGTAATTTTGACATAGAAGTACCTTTCAATCTGTTTCTTTGTTGATAAAGAGTTGAGCCAGCTATTGAAAATAATTTAAAAATAAAATTTTGTACAACTGACTTAAGGATAACTCAAAAACTATTTGTCAGACTTATATGGGTCTAATTTATATGGGACCACCAAATTTCAAATAAAAAAAAGAATCATCGAAATCGGTTCACCCAGAAAAAAGTTATAAGGTAACACATTAAAAAAAGAACATACAGTGGATTTGAGTACCTCCTCCTTTTTGAAGTCGGTGGATAACCGCTCAGATGGCGCTGATGATCATCGAACATCGATGATCATCGACTATCCCTAATCTGTTCTCGACGCCTCGGCAGTCTTGAAGGTTCGGATCTGTCCATCCTTTGGCTATGCGTAGATAGCGACGACCGTCCGCGCATCTACGGGTGCCTCTATAGGTCCCATAGCGGTAATGCCAAAACAGACTGACTCATCGACCAATTACAAATGGCTACAGATTCCTTGCTACAACAGGTCCCATCCGCAGAGATCGTATTCCTTGGTGATTTTAACGCTCACCACGATGAATGGCTCGGTTCACGTTTAACCGATCATGCGGGGTGATCAGTTTATAACTTTGCCTTGGCATATAGTCTGACACAACTGGTTACTTCGCCTACGCGGATACCAGATGTGGATGAAGGTACATGACCTTCCCTGTTGGACCTTCTGCTGACCTCTCATCCGGACGGATATCAGGTCTCCGTCGATGCCCCTCTCGACTCTTCGGACCATTGTCTGATCCGGAGTGTGGTGCCACTCACGCTCCCCTCGCGGTTGCGTTCTGCAGGTTGCCGCTGTGTTTGGCATTATAGGTCGGCGGATTGGGACTTAATGCGGTCTTTCTTTGCATTCTTTACCCATGGGGGCGGGTTTGCCTCTCGCCAGCTGATTAGTGACCGCCAATACGGTTTTCGTCGGGGTCGATCAGCTGGTGATCTTCTGGTCTACTTGACTCATAGATGGGCGGAAGTAGTAGAAGGTTCAAGCCGTTAGTTTGGACATTGCGAAGGCCTTCGATCGGATTTGGCACAAAGCGCTTCTTTCGAAGCTCCCTTACTATGGGCTTCCAGAGAAATTGTGCAATTGGATCACGAGCTTTCTTGCAGATCGGAGCATCAAAGTCGTTGTAGATGGTGCATGCTGCGACTACAAGCCTATTAACGCTGGTGTTCCACAAGGCTGCGTGCTATCACCAACGCTGTTTCTTCTGCATATCAATGATATGTTGCAAACTGGTAGCATTCATTGCTATGCGGATGACAGCACCGGTGATGCTCTATACACCGACCGTGCCAATATTTCTCGGGAAAACGTCGCCGAGTACCGGAACAAACTTGTGTCTGAAGTCGAGTCTTTGCTGAACAAAGTCTCGGATTGGGGGCGACTAAATCTAGTCCAGTTTAATCCTCGGAAGGCATAAGTTTACGCGTTTACCGCCAAAAAGAACCCCTTTGTCGTATCTCCTAAGTTTCAAGGCACCCTTGTTGCCTCAGCCAGTATCAGAATCCTTGGCGTCGACATATCGAGTGACGTGCAGCTTCGTGGTCACTTGGAAGAGAAGGCCAAATTGGCCTTTAAAAAGCTTGGCGTGCTTAGCAGAGCGGAACAGTATTTACAAGGCGCAAGTTCGGCCTCACATGCAATACTGTTCCCATCTCTGGGCTGGGACTCCCCAGTGCCAGCTCCTTCCACTTGACCGCATCGAATCGTCGACGACCGAGTACTTTCCGATCGGCTCGATTCATTGGCGCTGCGAAGAGATGTTGCATCTCTTTGCATTTTCTTTCGCATTTACCACGGGGAGTACTCTGAGGAATTGTTCGGATTAATCCCAGCCGCCAAATTTCATGAACGCACATCGCGGCAGAACTCCCGATACCATCCACATCATCTGGATGATTGGCGGTCCACCACTGTGCGATTTAGAAGATGTTTTCTTCTTCGCACAACTTCCTTGAGGAATAGTTTACCACCAGCGATTTTTCCGGACCGATACGACTTAGGGACCTTCAAGAAAAGAGCCTACTCCTTTTTAAAAGGCCGGCAACGCATCTGCAATTCCCCTGGTTCCCCTGGTGTTACACTTGTTCATGGGCGGCGGTAGTCACTTACCATCAGGTGAGCCGCATGTTCGTTTGCCCCTCTCCTAAAAAAAAAATGAAAATTTGCCCCCTAGCAAGTGGGCTCTGGCGAAGATAACTGAAAAACATCCTGGACAAGACAACATAACATGGGTGTATACCGTGCGTTATAATGGTAAATTAACTCTGAGATCCATCTAAAATTTGTGTGTAAAATTTGTGTATTTCTAGTAAAGTTCAATACTTTATATTTAATTTAATAACTTTAAGTTGTATTCTTTGCATTATATTCTGTAATTAAGTATCAAATTAGTATTAGCGTGAAGTTTTTTCGTTATTTGTTTTAATTTATATTTAGTAATAGCTATTCATGAACTTACATTATTTAAATTGCAATGTTAAACTGCAAAGTTTTAAAGTGAAGCATTGAATAACTTAAGGTATAAACATTGTTAGTAGCATTTATTGTTTCAGTTACTAGTTAAGTTCAAATTAATTTGTTTATTTAAGTCTCGTTTGGTGGGCGGTATGTTCGACTAAGTAATGTATTTCTTATAACTAGTTCTGTATTTGTTTATAACGCTCATGTTCCTTACTTTCATTTAGTGTCCAATAGATCGTTGAACAAAACATACGTGTTTAATTTTATCACACTAAGTATACCCAAGCAATTCACGATCTTATTCAAACCAACAAATATATTTTTATGTTTTGTTAGCTTTTATATTAGCTTTCGACAATCTGGACATGAAGACAAATCTAATAACACACACAAACTTACATATATTACATACATACATGTCTCAAAACACAGCTCTCCTTCTGGTGCAGTTTGATAAAAAAGATTAAAGCTATGGTTTCGCGTATTATGTGAAAGACAGGTTAGTTACCTTACTAAACTATTTGATAACAAATATGTATAAAACAAGTCTGGTAAATAATTACAGTCTGACGTCAATGAAGCCCTATCCAATGCTCTGTCGCGTGCATGCTCTCTGGAAGGAAAGTTACGGACTGCCAGTCAAGCATACACTAAGCTTGGAGAAGTGAAGAATGACGCCCAAACTGCAGCTGATATGGTGGAGAAGACTGCGGTCCTGGCTCGAGATGTCAGTGCTAAAGTACGACAGTTGGATCTTGCACGAGTAAGTTTACGGCCTTTTTTACTGGAAATGAGGCATTCCATCTTAGTCCTCACAGGTGACAACGCATCTACATTTTGATTTGTAATAGAGGATAGATGTAGATGTCTATGGGCCGCAGCAACCACTTACCATCAGGTGGACTGTGTGCTCGTTTGTCATCCTTATCCTATAAAAAAAAAAAAAAAAAAAACGAATAACTATTACGTTCATTAGGGTCTATTGAGTTGTGTGGAATATGCGTAGTAGAATCCCTCACTTATTTTGTGATGTAAGATTTGACTAATAAAAATCTAGGCACAGCCATTCAATCTAATAATACCTGACAGATGGCAGCATAATTATCTTGAAAATCTCTAAAAGCTCTAAAACCTTAAAAAAAGCGAAAACAGCAGATCTAGATCTAGATTAATCCAATTATTGTGAGATAGTAGATATTATTAAATCTACTCAGAAATTGTTTAGCAGTAGCGTGTTTATTGGCTGACGATGTAGTCACAGCGTAAGAAGTATAATACTGTGATATAGTGTTGAGTATAAAATGTTTATTTCAAATCTGAATTTTTGCTGTGAAAATACTATTTTCCGGATATTGCTTGTACTAGTCTTTGTTAAGTATAATACTCTTTGTTTATAATACGACTCTGTTTTTCATATTGTTTACAGTCACGGGTTGCAGAATGCCAGCGACGTGTACATGATTTAATCGACCTACAGTTGTGCAGTGCGGGTGTAGAAGCTGCCATTAAAGCACACGATTATGAAACTGGTGAATATTTTTCTTTAAGCTATCCATCTGTATAGTTGTTATTTTTTTATTAGAGGGGGCAAACGATCATGCGGCTAACTTGATGGTAAGTTACTACCGCCGCCCATGAACAACTGCAACACCAAGGGAACCAGGGGAATTGCAGATGCGTTGTCGGACTTTTAAAAAGGAGTAGGCTCTTTACTTGAAGGTCCCTAAGTCATATCGGTCCGGAAAAATCGCTGATGGTAATCGATTCCACGAGGAAGTTGTGCGAGGAAGAAAACATCTTTTAAATCGCACAGTGGTGGACAGCCAATCATCCAGATAGTGTGGATGGTATCGGGTGTTCTGCCGCGATGTGCTTTCGTGAAATTTGCTGCCTGGGATTAATCCGAACAATACCTCAGAGCACTCCCCGTGGTAAATGCGAAGGGATGCATCTTCTCTTCGCAGTGCCAATGAATAGAGCCGATCAGAAAGGACTCGGTTGTCGACAATTCGAGCCGCTCTGCGCTGGATGCGGTCAAGTGGAAGGAGCTGGCACTGGGGAGCCCCTGCCCATAGATGGTAACACCCTCCACCTCCCATGGCCCCTCATCATATATACATATATATATAAATCCAGAGATGGGAACAACCCACCACCTCCCATGGCCCCACCGACCCTCAGGTCATACGGGTCGAATCTCGGGAGATGCGCGCGGTACTTGTACGTGGCTCTTTCCCGCGCACACTTTCTTGACTCCCTACAAATATTTAATCTATTACTTGTCCCAGTTTAACGTCATTCTCCCCCTTCTGGGGCTGACGACACATTGAGGCCTACGCCGTCGGGCCCTCCTACCAGCCTTCCATCCTGCCTTGTCCTGCGATCGTGCCACCTATGCGCAAACTCGCGCAACAGTCCGTAGTTTACCACATCGCTGACGAGATCCGAGTAGTAAACTGGTCCCTGAACCGGACGAACTAGTCCATCCATCATTTTCACTCTTAGGTCATCATACAGAGGACATTCCCATAGAACATGGTGAACATCCTCCTCTGACATACCGCACTGACACATAATAATTTCACACAGTTTCATGTCGCTCAGTCTCTTTCGAAAGCATCCATGTCCGGTGAGAATCTGAGAGGTTTGGTAGTCAGGTGAGACCCAGGTATACCTGAGTCTCAACGTCACGTCCGGGAAAACTCGATGTAGCTCACGTCCTTTTGTATCACACGTCCATCTATCCTGCCAGGCGCCGATCACCTCAGTCCAGATATCGCGATTCCGTTTGCTCAACCCCTCTTTGGGCGCGGTCAAACGTGCTATACCCATCCTACCAGCACAGATGACCTCTAGGTCAGCAGGGAGAACGGGAGAGAGGGGAACCAGAGATGGTAACAACCCACCACCTCCCATGGCCCCACCAACCCTCAGGTCATACGGGCCGAATCTCGGGAGATGCGCGCGGTACTTGCACGTGGCTCTTTCCCGCGCGCACTTTCTTGACTCCCTACAAATATTTAATCTGTTCCTTGTCCCTGTATTTACGTCATTCTCCCCCTTCTGGGGCTGACGGCACACTGACGCCTACGTCGTTAGTCCTTTCTGCCAATATTCTAACATTACTTCTCCTGCGGTCATGCCATCTGTGCGCAAACTCGCGCAACAGCCTTTAGTTCACCTCACCGCTGACGAGATCCGAGTAATAGACCTTTATGATGATTTGATAGGATGCTTTCAGAAGAGACTGAGTGAAATGCGACTGTGTGATACAAGTATGTGTGAGTGTGGTGTGATAGAGGAGGACGTTCACCATGTTCTATGGGAATGTCCTCTGTATGACGACCTAAGAACGAAAATGATGGATGGACTAGTTCGTTCGGTTCAGAGACCAGAGATGGGAACAGTATTCCATGTGAGGCCGAACCTGCGCCATGTAAAGTTGCAGGTGGTTTGCCGGCATGAAATACTGTCCCGCTCTGCTGAGCACGCCAAGCTTTTTAGAGGCCAATTTGGCCTCCTCTTCCAAGTGACTACGAAACGGCACGTCACTCTATATGTCGACTCCGAGGATTCCGATACTGGCTGAGGCAAGAAGGAACTAAGGAGATACGACAATGGGGTTCTTTTTAGCGGTAAACGCGCAAACTTGTGTCTTCTGAAGATTAAACTGGACTAGATTTAGTCGCCCCCAATCCGAGACTTTGTTCAGCAAAGACTCGACTTCAGACACAAGTTTCTTCCGGTACTCGGCGACGTATTCCCGAGAAATATTGGCACGGCCGGTGTATAGAGCATCACCAGTGCTGTCATCCGCATAGCAATGAATGTTACCAATTGCAACATATCATTGGTATGCAGAAGAAACAGCGTTGGTGATAGCACACAGCCTTGTAGAACACCAGCGTTAATAGGCTTGTAGTCGGAGCACCGTCTACAACGGCCTTGATGCTCCGATCTGTGAGGAAGCTGGTGATCCAATTGCACAATTTCTCGGGAAGCCCATAGGAAGGGAGCTTCGAAAGAAGCGCTTTGTGCCAAACCCGATCGAAGGTCTTTGCAATGTCCAAACTAACGGCCAACGCCTCCCCCTTGGACTCTACTGCCTCAGCCCATATATGAGTCAGATAGATCAGAAAATCACCAGCTGATCGACCCCAACGAAAACCGTATTGGCTGTCATAAATCTAAATAAAATTAATTAAGGTACCGCATGAGCTGGCAGTTAATAATGGATTCCATTATTTTGGAGAACAAGGAGGGTGATGGCGATAGGCTTGTAGTTGGACGGGTCTGAGCTGTCGCCTTTTTTAGGGATCGGGTGGACAAAAGCGGTCTTCCATGATTTCGGGACTATGCCTAGGGAGTAGAAGTACCGGAAAAGACGCATTAGAACCGGTGCCAACTCCGGAGCACACGTCCTCGGCACAATTGGGGAGATTCCGTCAGACCCACTCGACTTATGAATGTCCAGGGAGAGGAGTGCTTTGCGAACCGAGCGCTGTGAGAATCGTACATACGGCATGGAGCACTCACAACGCGGGATGGTCGTCGGTGTGTTCCCCCCGTCATCAAGTCGAGTTGGACGCAAAAAGGAAGTCTAAAAGGTCGGCTTTCTCCTTTGCGTCATGGGCCAGTGAGTCGTCCACCCCGTGCAGAGATGGTAGTGATGGCTTACAGAAATTCCCTTGGACAGCCTTGGCGACAAGCCAGAATGCACGGGTTCCCGAAGGAAGGCGAACTAGTTTCTCGCCAATTCTGCCTATGTGCTCTGACTTTGCCTTGGCAATAACTCTTTTGAAGAATCTGGAGGCGAAGTTATACTTCTTTTTAAGCATGCTGGTGTTTACATCCGGAGTCGCCGAAGCCGCAGCCCAGGCTTGATAACACTCCTGCTTACTGCGTAATGCAGTCTTACAGGAGTGACCCAACCAAGGCTGAGATCTGCCTCTGAGTGGTACCACAGATGATGGAATAAATAGTTCCATTCCCTGTAGCACCACATCAGTGACAGAGTCAGCAACAGCGCTGGAATCATCCGGCTAGAAGCAAACCCGCCCCCATGGGTAGGATGCAAAGAAAGACCGCATTCCGTCCCACTCCACCGACCTGTAATGCCAAACACGGTGGCAACCTGCAGAACGCATCCGCGAGGGGAGCGTGAGTGGCACTACACTCCGGATCAGACAATGGTCCGAAGAGCCGAGACCTGATATCCGTCTGGATGAGAGGTTAGCCGAGGGTCCAACAGGGAAGTTGTAAGATCCTCCACATCTGGAATCCGCGTAGGCGAAGTAACCAGTTGTATCAGACCATATGCCAAGGCGAAGTCATAAACAGATCTCCCCGCATGATAGGTTGAACGTGAACCGAGCCATTCGGCGTGGTGGGCGTTAAAATCGCCAATGATCACGATCTCTGCGGATGGGACCTGTTGTAGCAAGGAATCTGTAGCCATTTGGACGTGGTCGATGACTCGGTCTGTTTTGGCATTACCGCTATGGGAGCTATAGAGGCAGCCATAGACTCCCATAGACGTGCGGATGGTCGTCGCTGTCTACGAATTGCCAAAGGATGGACAGGTCCGAACCTTCAATACTGCCGAGGCGTCGAGAACATATGTTCTCTCTGACGTATACGCAAACTCCAGGCCGAGGCACAAAGGAGTGCTCCAATTTGTACCCCGGGTAGGAGAGATACGAAGTATCAGCCGGAGAGGACACCTGCGTCTCGGTCAGAAAGAGCAAGGCCGGCTTCGCTGTCTCGAGATAGTAGTGGACGGCGTTTAGGTTCGAGTGAAGTCCCCTGATGTCAGAAATTCACGGATAGCGTGGCAAGAGTCGCCTTGGTATTGTTGCTCAGTTTGCCCCGAAGAGTTATGTTTTTGAGCGGAATTTTACCCCCCCCCCCCCCCCCTCCAGGATACGCGGGGCAGCCTGAGCACCCACGCTCAAGAGTGGAATAACATGGTCGTGGATGCTCAGCGAGTGATTCTCCAGGGGTGCTGGTACCCTCCTGGGGTAGCCTTTGATGTAATTCCACTACCATGTTATTGGAGGGGGGGGGGGGAATTGGGCCTTCGGCCACCTGCACTCACTAGTGAAACGCAGAAGCAGAGCTCCTACTTCACCACCGTTAAAATGTTGTATTTCTAAATGGTCATTACCACTTCTATTATTTTAGATAATTTTTTTATAAAAGTGCAAATCTACATAACAGCGTCTGTACACGCCCCTAGTTGCCCCGACAAAGGTCAAATATCCCGAGGCCCATCAGCAGTAGATTCGACGGACAACTAAGGGTGGGGCTCGAAATGCCTATGAATAATCAATATATAAGGAATAGGCTCCACAAGGCTCGGTCAGGCGGTAGGTGTAGTGTATGTAAGTGGTGTTTAGTGATGTGTAAAATCTGAAACCTGACTTAAACCTTTTAATCGGCAGCAGCCCTGACTCCGGCACCGCCACACGGTGTGGTATCCTCCAGCGGCGTCACCTCGATGTCACTCAAAGTCTAGCGTCCCTTAGCACAAATCTATAATCTAATACGAACGCTGTTTCTCGCGGGTCACAAAGTTTAGCCATTTTAACCGACACAGGAAAATATCTCTGAGTTACATCAAATACCACAAAGCAACTCGTCGACGCAAATTAATATTGTCAAAGCACTTCAACCGGCAATCAATCACTATACAATTTACGTAAATTACTTGCCAACGAATTTAAGTTAATCAATCAAAATATTACGGCTTCGTTATCGCGTGAACGCACTAAAGATAACCAAACATTAGAAGCGAAAAACTCCAATGGTAAATTCTATGCGTCCTTTCGACCGGCAGTTGTTCACACTTAATCTCTCGACTCGTCTCGATCGACGCGACCACGATGGGAATGCGGCCGGAGAGGGGCCGGCCGTGACCTTCGTACCGTGCTATGCACGCGCTGAGTCGCGAGTTATGAATTCAATTTTCAAAAGGTTAATTTTTGGCCTAAACAGCATCTGTTGTTGGAATTTTAAATCTTCTATAATATAAAAATGAATCGCTGAATGTGTTGCTAAGCGCAAATCTCGAGAGCAGCTGAACCGATTTCGCCCATTATTTTTTATAATATTCCTTGAAGTACGAAGATGGTTCTTACGGAGAGAAAAATTTAAAAATTGCCTGAAAAAGTCTAAAACCAACACTTTTCTATATTCTCATACAAAAGATTCGTAATAATACTTAAAAGTCAATTTGAACTTTAATACCATACCATAAAGTTTAGGCAAAACAATTAAGTGGCGTTAGTATCGTATAAATATTAATGTCAATATTTATACACACAGGCAGATAGCTGATGTTATAAGGAGTAACTTGGGCTGCTTTTATTTTAGTGTTCCGCGAAAAATAACTCCACGCGGGCAAAGTCGCGGGGAACAGCTAGTATTTTATAGAATATAACACTATTTGTTTTATTTTAATCAGCGTTGTGTGTATACAGCGGCGCGGCACGTGGCCCGCTTCCTGAGCATGGAGCCGGGCTCGGTGGCGGCGGCGCGAGCGCGCGGCGCGCCCGACCCGCGCAGCGACATGGCGCGAGCCGCGCGCACGCTGCGCGACCACCTCGTGCGCAAGTACGTACTGTGCGACTTGTACTGTGTTGTGTGCAGCGGCGCGGCACGTGGCCCGCGGCCCGCGGCCCGCTTCCTGAGCATGGAGCCGACCCGCGCAGCGACATGGCGCGAGCCGCGCGCACGCTGCGCGACCACCTCGTGCGCAAGTACGTACTGTGCGACTTGTACTGTGTTGTGTGCAGCGGCGCGGCACGTGGCCCGCGGCCCGCGGCCCGCTTCCTGAGCATGGAGCCGACCCGCGCAGCGACATGGCGCGAGCCGCGCGCACGCTGCGCGACCACCTCGTGCGCAAGTACGTACTGTGCGACTTGTACTGTGTTGTGTGCAGCGGCGCGGCACGTGGCCCGCGGCCCGCGGCCCGCTTCCTGAGCATGGAGCCGACCCGCGCAGCGACATGGCGCGAGCCGCGCGCACGCTGCGCGACCACCTCGTGCGCAAGTACGTACTGTGCGACTTGTACTGTGTTGTGTGCAGCGGCGCGGCACGTGGCCCGCGGCCCGCGGCCCGCTTCCTGAGCATGGAGCCGACCCGCGCAGCGACATGGCGCGAGCCGCGCGCACGCTGCGCGACCACCTCGTGCGCAAGTACGTACTGTGCGACTTGTACTGTGTTGTGTGCAGCGGCGCGGCACGTGGCCCGCGGCCCGCGGCCCGCTTCCTGAGCATGGAGCCGACCCGCGCAGCGACATGGCGCGAGCCGCGCGCACGCTGCGCGACCACCTCGTGCGCAAGTACGTACTGTGCGACTTGTACTGTGTTGTGTGCAGCGGCGCGGCACGTGGCCCGCTTCCTGAGCATGGAGCCGACCCGCGCAGCGACATGGCGCGAGCCGCGCGCACGCTGCGCGACCACCTCGTGCGCAAGTACGTACACGTGGTAACCACTGAGGATAATGACCTCCATACCGAACTTCTGTCATGGCGGCCAATCTCAATAGAGACTAGCCATCTGCGGACAACAGGATTATAGTGCTCGAGTCTATGCGCTAGCGCACCTATGCTAGCTCTCATAGACCGATTGGACGGTTATCTGATACGACCGGGGAGAGATCAGGGGCAGAAGCAATGGCTTTACGTGCTTTCCGAAGCTACCTGGCTCCGGGCTGCTACTCACAATTTCTTGACAGAAAACTAAATAACCGATTTTGGCCCGACCCGTGCCCGGGTCGATTCGACACCGTCTCGTGATCAGCAATCGCGTTTACCACCTATACACGCCCCTAGCTGCCCCGACAAAGATCGACCATACAGGGGCCCATACAGCTGCAGATACGACGGACAACTAAGGGTGGGGCTCAAAATTCCCGATGGACAATTATCATACACAATAGATGTAAGGCTACGTAATTAATAAGAACTTAAATGGTTTCGAATCTAGAACCGACCCCAAGGCGCGGTCAGGCGTTAAGTATGTGCATGTGAGTAGTGTGGAGTAATGTGGACATGTGTAACCTGATTTAACCGTGGAAGTCGAACCACAGATCTGCAGGCGCTGTGTTTCTCCAAATGTGCGATCCTACGACGACCACTACTTTAAAGTCTTACATACGTGTAATAAAGGGCTGCGACTGTGTGTGCTGGAACAGTTAGAGATATTAACAGTAAGGTTGCACTGCTGAATGAACAAACAAATGTTTCTAGCTCACCTCTCCTAAATATCTTTAAGTCTGCTCTCTAATAGCACACAACCTTGCAATATGATCATTTGTCACCCTCACGCTGATCGGCAATTGGTTGCGTGGTTGGATGGTAGGCGGGCGTTGCGCGGCGGTTTGTTTTCAATTTTACAAACGACTGCTAAGTCCGGCGGTGATTGGTCGCATGTTTTATCGCATGACGCAGTCGCTCGCCCCTTAAACAGGGAGCGGTTGTGTCAGCGGTGTATAAAAGGCAGTTGTTTTGGCTCGCCGCTCACTTAGCGGTTAGCCACCGTAGAGTCTATATCACCTGAGGATGCCTCGTGTAGAGGCGAAACACGTGTCGTATTGTTGTTAGTGGTGTGTCTTTCCTAATGTAATGGTGTTAAGAGTAGTGGTGCTGGGATTAGTGGTGACGGAGATAGTGCACGCAATTGAGGGAGGGCGGGAGGTGCTCTTCAAACTAAGTAACACATCATTTTATTTTATCTAGCGGATGTACGCAAAGTAATTTTTTGTCAAATTTAATATAATGGACTTCCGCAAAGTAACGCCTGATTCTATTAATTATATGACCAAATACTCAAACACTACTCAATTTTAAGAGTTAAGTCTCGTGATGTCACAGTTATTTTGACTTAAAGTGATAGAGATAGCACGAAACTTAATGGCATTTTAATATTGACCAGCGGTAGAGTATTTGGGCAAAGAGCTGACAAACTGTTGAATATTGATACACTTAGAAAGACACTTAGAAAGTGACAAGGACGATAAGTCAATCAGACAAGCACACTAATAAAAAAATAAATTAATCACACACAACACAAACGAATACACACTCCATTTGATGGTAAGTGGATGCGTAACCCATAGACACCTGGTTCACTTCGTCGTTTTGTGTTTTGATCGCTCCGCGGATCAAAAAATAATTTGTATTTATGGTTTGATTTTAAACATGTAGTGGCTGTGTAAGAATATCCACTAACCGAATATCATCCCATGGGTATCGTATGAAGCGACAGAAGGAAGCTGAAACTGAGAAAAAGAAGATGCAGAAACGCCATTTAAGAATAGTTTACAGGGAAAGTGACCAAATAAACAATTTTAGCTATTAAAACATTTTTATTGTTGAACGATAAAATAATAGTTATAGCTTCAAAAGCACTAGAGAAAGAGTAGAGTGGTGAAGATAGATTTTATATTCACAATCATATCAATATGTTACATATGCGTTTAGTGTAAGTTTTTTCGTTTGGATAAACTTCCTTATTTTAAGATATTTTTGTCAAATTTACAGATTTGACGAAGCTGCACGAAAAGAAGATGACGTAGCAGTGGAACGTCTTTTCAAACTGTTCCCGCAGATCGGTCAGACTGAGGAGGGTGTGGATTTATTAGCAAAATATCTCGCTGTACAGGTACAGAATTTTTATAGTTTTTTTCCCACTGTGTTCATGACTTCAAGGTTTATTTTTGATTGTAGCTAATTTATTGATAGAAAATATTTTATTTGTTTATGCGATTAACTATTTCACTATTCGTGTGTCATATATGAATATTTCGATTGTTCAACTAGTGTGTTTTTTTTTGTGGAGTTTCCATAACTAATAATTTTCAGTTTATTCTATATATATTCATGTTGGAAATTAAGATTTGAAGTTAGTTATATAAGTTGGTTTGTTTAAAGAAGAAAATTGTGTCTTATAATTGACGGTGGTGTGTGTTTCTGTTTTCTAATGCATTGGTTAGAGTAGAGTTGCGTACAGTGGGCGGTGATAATGTTCGTAAGTTTGGGAGAACTTTATAAATACATATTGCAAGAATATGTCCGCCAAAATGCACTGGTATAGCGTGGCGGATCAATTGCTCCATAATCCTTGCTTGGCTAGAGGTTTGAGTTTAGCAGTAGGAAATAATGAGCTATGATTTTATTATTATTTTTATAAAATGATTCGACAGTTACTGCGATATTTTTGAATTCGATGGCGTATGACGGATTTATTATGAACTAGGTGACCTGACAGATGTTGTTCTATCTAAATTTCATGTTTGAAATCGTTTTGTGAGTTTATGAAAAGTTGTTGGAAAATACTAAAAATGGGAAAATATACGTATTTTTGAGTGATTAATGTGTGTACAATTGTGGTCATGGATATTAAATTAGGGTAAGAGTACATTTAAAAGAACGCTTATGGAAAAAATTTACATGCGAGATGAATTATATCGACAGTTTACTGCTGAAATAAAAAATCATTTTATTTCCTTTTCACAAAGGTATAAAATTACTCAATAATATAATTTATACACATGGTTGTAACCAATTTGCGACCTTTATGAGAGACTGGTGTGTAGATTAAGGTAATCGCTGTCATTAAACCAAAAGATGAACCAGGCTTGAAATGTGTAGTGCGTCTAGAATGTGATTGATTTGGATGGTGCTTGATTTTTTCTTGTAAACTTTTCCATAAGCATAAACAAAACAAAAAAAGAATTTCGCATATTCATCCTTTGAATTGTTAGCTCATACAAAAATCTAATTGAAAAGAGGATGTTGAATTTTCTCCTAATTTGAAAGTTTTCGTAATAATTTTGCGAAATAATTCAAAACCATATTTGGACTATAACGAACATTATAAAATAAAAAATAGCCAAATCTTACTCAAGTGATGCGTTTAACAACGAACAGTATTTCATTTTTATTTAAATAAGTTGTGTTGTAGACATTTTGGGAGTTTGGTGTAATGATGTGTGACGATTACAGACCGAGTCTAAGATCAGGAAGGCGAGCGTGGTGGAGGGCGGCGGTGCGGGGGGTGCGGGCGGTGCGGGGGGTGCGGAGGCGGTGCACGCGGACGCGCTGACGCGCGTGCTGGAGGCGGGCGCGGGCGCGCTGCAGCGCGTGCGCGCGCTGCTGCTGCACGCCGCCGCGCCGCACCACTTCCCGCGCGCTCTGCTCGTCCTGCAGCCCGTGGTCAGTGCCCCGCTCTACCAATACCGTACAGTTCTCTTCAACATTCATACACTTAGGAAGAGACAATAGCGGTTAGACACGCTAGTTAATTACATAATGTTTTAATCAGATAGCAACCGTTTAGTGTGACACACACACACATACACACACACACACACACACACACACACACACACACACACACACACACACACGTCATGCATGCACTAACCCACGCACACACTCACTCAATACTAAAGATCCGCCCCAGCTTTGCATGAGTAATTTCTAGATCATGACAATAGTCCTACATACCAGGTCTAATTATGAATCTAAACCATCCAAGAACCAACTCAAACACAAACAAAAAAAATCTTCAAAATCGTGTAATCATTAGAAAGAAAATTAGATTTACTTTTTCAATAAAAAAATATTTCCAAAAATGGTTAATATTCAGATACGCTATCTTCAACGAAAACTATATACATATACGAGTATATATACCTTTGAGAACACTTTCCAAATTCAGATTTAAAACGTTTACGATGATGAACTAAGAACTTTTCATAATCAGAAATGTTACCAGATTTCTTCCATCTTATCAATGCTTAAAGATAAAAAACGTATCTTTAAAAGTACGAATAAGAGAGGGGGAGAACCAAACCGTAAAACAAGTTTATATATTATTTAAAAAAATCAGCCATATAAGAGGTGCATATAAATAGACAATACTGTATATTATATCGTAAATAGTGTTTACCGCATTTAATATCTTTAGCATTCGCTCTATTAACTCATCATATTTTTAAAAACGGGAATGGTCCAAGAATTGAACCCTGAGGAACACCCATTGATACTACTGAACTGTAAGATCTCTTACCGTTAGTAACAACTTTTTGAGTTCTATTACTTAAATATGAACAACTAAGTTTAAGGACAAAATTGAATACACAATAACGTTAAAATATTTCCTAATGATTTCTGCTGATGGACACAGTCGAAAGTCTTGGAAAGATAAAAAAATACCCAAAGAAACACCTGCGTCAGTTGTTGAGTGATACTTTCTAAAACTAAATGGATATATGCAGTAATTTATTCACATAATATAGTCATAGCATATTTGTATAGGAACTTCGTTTATTAAGGGTGTGTGATGCGTAAAGCATTTCATTTCAGTCCTTAGTGAAGGCAGCGCATTTGCATTTAAATTTTTAATGGAGGATAGGTGCTTATAGCGTTTTTCCCATATTCCTATTTCTCGTTCACTTGTCATAAGGTAGAATGTTTGTTCGTTCATTATTCTAAATTCTATCAAAATGAATGAATTTTTGTAAGAGCGCTAGACAGAGGGAAACACATCAGAAGATTGTAGAAGAAGGCAGTAGCGTCGTGTTTGTTATTCTAATTGTTATTAAACAAATAGAAGAAAAAAACATGCGTGAGTGTCGTGAAACACTCGGTTGGAACGAAGTTCCTTTCGTAGTATATATTTTTTACTCTTTTTTTTATTATTATTGATAAACGTAGTATTTTATTGATTTACAAATACAAAGAAATAAATTACTAGCGTCTATTAAAATGAAGCGTCATTTAAAATATAATAATATTTATTTTATGGCAAGATAAGAAAAAGTGCGAGGAAGATGGATATTATTTCATCTCGCTTCCTTATAGCCGCCAAGAACGTCTACACTACGTCAGAAGGGGTCGTGATGGAAAAATGTTACACTTTTTCTCGCCTAGCCCTCATCCGCCAAATTCGTATCGTTCGATAAGGAACTTCGTTCCAAAACTGCGGTTGCCAATCCGTTTACCAAGTCTGACAATTATGACAAATAAATATCCTCCTTAGGAGGGAATATAGGGCCTATGTTTACCAATTGACTTAAACAAGTTTTAATGAATAAATGAATGAAACGAGCGCTTGACACTATATTAATTTTTATATTTGTTGATGGTAAATAGAATTCTAGGATGCGGGTTGCTCAGGATATTTGTTTTCACCTATGTTGCAGTAAATCTGGGAAAGACAGTACGTAGAATTATGATGATGATGATGATGATGATAAAGGTTATAAAATATTGAAGAATATTGCAACATTGCCTAAAAACACATTAAAAAACATGTTAGTGTCAGGTAGGGATGATCGATGTTGTAGAAACATCGATGATGACATCGATTACGACATCGACAGCTCAACATCGATGTTCGATGTTTATCCTACTCAAAACATCGATGTTGGCCACTATCGATGTTTATCCTACTCAAAACATCGATGTTGGCCACTATCGATGTTTTTTTGCACATTTAATAGGTTAGAATTAGATGAATAAATAAATTGTCATCTTGTTTATGGTTTATAATTAATGAAATAAAAGAAATTAATAAACAATGTAGTATAAAACAGTAATTAAAAAAAATTGGAAGAAGTTCACAAATATCTAATTCACTTGTTATATTGTGGAATATTTTTGCAGATTGATTGAAGAAATAGTAATTTTGACATAGAAGTACTTTCAATCTGTTTCTTTGTTGATAAAGAGTTGAGCCAGCAATTGAAAATAATTTAAAAATAAAATGTTGTACAACTGACTTAAGGATAACTCAAAAACTATTTGTCAGACTTATATGGGTCTAATTTATATGGGACCGCCAAATTCCAAATAAAAAAAGAATCATTGAAATCGGTTCACCCAGAAAAAAGTTATGAGGTAACACACATTAAAAAAAGAACATACAGTGGATTTGAGTACCTCCTCCTTTTTGAAGTCGGTGGATAACCGTTAAGATGGCGCTGATCTAGCGATTGTGGTCAAATGTCTCACCGCAAGTTTTAAACTAAACGTCCATTGGATCGTGTTTAAGATCAACAATCGGATTTTTTTTTAAAACTACCGCTAAAGAAACAGATAACCATAGAATTATTACGCATAGAAACGCAGTCCAGTACAAGACACGAGCGTTAAAATGATGCAAAGTCATTATGTTAGTGGACGCGAGTCGAATGTGCCTACGCTCGTCATACGCACACATACACGCCATTCAGTGATACCAGTTTCTGGCGTTTGCAATCAAATTGTGCAAATCACTATTTTTTGATTAATTTTACAAAATCGATATAATAAAGATTACGTATTACGTACGAATATTATTTAGTAGAAGTATTTTATGAGAATATAAAAGAAATAAATAAACACGATAATGATGTTACTAATATAACTTTATTATACATATATTAATGGTAAAAAATGCAGACGTAATAAAATTTAAGAATATTGTTAAACACAATTAATTTGCTCGAATACAATAAGCACATCGTGTAATGTTTAATTTTAGCCGACTTCAAAAAGGAAGGAGGTTATCAATTCTGTGTATTATTTAATGTTTTTTACCTCAGAATTCTACTATTTCTAAACCGATTTAGATTTTTTTATTTGAAAGGATATACACAGATTGATCCAATACACGCTGAAATTTTAATGGTTGTTTTCCCGAAGTAAAATTATTTTGCCTTAGTAGTACAATAGATTTATTAAAATAAAATTATTAGGATGTAAAAATGGCAGATTTACAATCGAGAAACACAAAACTCGAATGCGATCTCGAACCAATAGCAATATCTCGCAAGTAGGTCGGGCGTGCAGGCTAGGTTATACCGAATTACTACAATAAAGTCTGAAAAAAAATCCGCGGGACATAATGTAGTGTTACGTCTATCGTACGTGTTACCGCGCGCTTCCTACACAGTGAAGGGCCACTAATAAATGTTCATAACATGAACACTCAAGCGTGGTGATACGACATAAACTAGTTTGGACGCCCGAATAGCTTGTGAGGTATTACTATTGTAAATCTGCCCTTTTTTAATTGTAATATTTTTTAATTTAAGAAATTGACTCTACTATCGAGACAATATAATTTGGCTGCGGGACAAAAACCACTAAAATTTCAGCAAGTATATACGAATTGATGAAGCTTAGAAATCAGTGTACATAGAGTCGGTTAAAATAGGCTATGTTTGGGTCTAACGTAACATCTGGTTAATGTTTGGGTGTAAAGTGACATCTGGTTAGTAAAGGCATTCTTATTAATAATCTCATGATGTAAATAAAAAAGTTTTTATTCTATACTCTAAAACGTAACCTTAGTCAATAAAAAAGCAATTAAAATAAAATAGTTGCGTTAAAATGGCGTTGACGAATCGCGATTAGCTGATCACTCCGTATTAGTTTTAAATAGGCACCCATTGTTAATATAATGTTAACACTTAGAGAAGTAGGTATCTATATATAAACATTTGAGTTTTACACAGAGCGTTGCGATTAAACGTTTTAAACACAAATAGAAAATAAATATTTTTAAAAGAAAATTGTGATTTTTTCCCCACAACTAGCAACATTTGTATTATGAGAACTTAGGTAAGTATTTTTTAGTTTTACGTACTTATAATGAATTAAATGTATAAACTTATATGTGAAATGTAATACCATCACTTCTTTTATGTTTATCATCACCGTTGTGACAATATTTTACAACACAAACGGTAATTTTTACAATTTTTCGCGAGCTCTTCTCCGTAAGACGTGACGTTGCGCACTGACGCGTTGCTGAGTCAACTTACGCGGTTTCGCGTTAGTTTTACTTGCTTCACATTCGGTGCGCGTACTAGTATTCTATGCGTAATAATTCTATGCAGATAACCAACAACGACACCAATAACAAACGAAATTAGTGACACTGCGACATGGACATCGATGATCATCGAACAGTGTCGGTGTGCAGGTGTGCGCGGGCGCGCGGCGCGTGTGCGGCTCGCTGGCGGCGCGGGTGCGGGGCGCGGGGAGTGCGGGGGGCGCGGGGGGCGAGGCGCGCGCCGCAGAGCCGCAGCTCAGCGAGCTGGCGCTGGCGCACTCGCGCCTGCAGCTCTACCTCGCCTTCCTGCGCCGCAACACTGCGGTAAGTAACGTGTGCGGCTCGCTGGCGGCGCGGGTGCGGGGCGCGGGGAGTGCGGGGGGCGCGGGGGGCGAGGCGCGCGCCGCAGAGCCGCAGCTCAGCGAGCTGGCGCTGGCGCACTCGCGCCTGCAGCTCTACCTCGCCTTCCTGCGCCGCAACACTGCGGTAAGTAACGTGTGCGGCTCGCTGGCGGCGCGGGTGCGGGGCGCGGGGAGTGCGGGGGGCGCGGGGGGCGAGGCGCGCGCCGCAGAGCCGCAGCTCAGCGAGCTGGCGCTGGCGCACTCGCGCCTGCAGCTCTACCTCGCCTTCCTGCGCCGCAACACTGCGGTAAGTAACGTGTGCGGCTCGCTGGCGGCGCGGGTGCGGGGCGCGGGGAGTGCGGGGGGCGCGGGGGGCGAGGCGCGCGCCGCAGAGCCGCAGCTCAGCGAGCTGGCGCTGGCGCACTCGCGCCTGCAGCTCTACCTCGCCTTCCTGCGCCGCAACACTGCGGTAAGTAACGTGTGCGGCTCGCTGGCGGCGCGGGTGCGGGGCGCGGGGAGTGCGGGGGGCGCGGGGGGCGAGGCGCGCGCCGCAGAGCCGCAGCTCAGCGAGCTGGCGCTGGCGCACTCGCGCCTGCAGCTCTACCTCGCCTTCCTGCGCCGCAACACTGCGGTAAGTAACGTGTGCGGCTCGCTGGCGGCGCGGGTGCGGGGCGCGGGGAGTGCGGGGGGCGCGGGGGGCGAGGCGCGCGCCGCAGAGCCGCAGCTCAGCGAGCTGGCGCTGGCGCACTCGCGCCTGCAGCTCTACCTCGCCTTCCTGCGCCGCAACACTGCGGTAAGTAACGTGTGCGGCTCGCTGGCGGCGCGGGTGCGGGGCGCGGGGAGTGCGGGGGGCGCGGGGGGCGAGGCGCGCGCCGCAGAGCCGCAGCTCAGCGAGCTGGCGCTGGCGCACTCGCGCCTGCAGCTCTACCTCGCCTTCCTGCGCCGCAACACTGCGGTAAGTAACGTGTGCGGCTCGCTGGCGGCGCGGGTGCGGGGCGCGGGGAGTGCGGGGGGCGCGGGGGGCGAGGCGCGCGCCGCAGAGCCGCAGCTCAGCGAGCTGGCGCTGGCGCACTCGCGCCTGCAGCTCTACCTCGCCTTCCTGCGCCGCAACACTGCGGTAAGTAACGTGTGCGGCTCGCTGGCGGCGCGGGTGCGGGGCGCGGGGAGTGCGGGGGGCGCGGGGGGCGAGGCGCGCGCCGCAGAGCCGCAGCTCAGCGAGCTGGCGCTGGCGCACTCGCGCCTGCAGCTCTACCTCGCCTTCCTGCGCCGCAACACTGCGGTAAGTAACGTGTGCGGCTCGCTGGCGGCGCGGGTGCGGGGCGCGGGGAGTGCGGGGGGCGCGGGGGGCGAGGCGCGCGCCGCAGAGCCGCAGCTCAGCGAGCTGGCGCTGGCGCACTCGCGCCTGCAGCTCTACCTCGCCTTCCTGCGCCGCAACACTGCGGTAAGTAACGTGTGCGGCTCGCTGGCGGCGCGGGTGCGGGGCGCGGGGAGTGCGGGGGGCGCGGGGGGCGAGGCGCGCGCCGCAGAGCCGCAGCTCAGCGAGCTGGCGCTGGCGCACTCGCGCCTGCAGCTCTACCTCGCCTTCCTGCGCCGCAACACTGCGGTAAGTAACGTGTGCGGCTCGCTGGCGGCGCGGGTGCGGGGCGCGGGGAGTGCGGGGGGCGCGGGGGGCGAGGCGCGCGCCGCAGAGCCGCAGCTCAGCGAGCTGGCGCTGGCGCACTCGCGCCTGCAGCTCTACCTCGCCTTCCTGCGCCGCAACACTGCGGTAAGTAACGTGTGCGGCTCGCTGGCGGCGCGGGTGCGGGGCGCGGGGAGTGCGGGGGGCGCGGGGGGCGAGGCGCGCGCCGCAGAGCCGCAGCTCAGCGAGCTGGCGCTGGCGCACTCGCGCCTGCAGCTCTACCTCGCCTTCCTGCGCCGCAACACTGCGGTAAGTAACGTGTGCGGCTCGCTGGCGGCGCGGGTGCGGGGCGCGGGGAGTGCGGGGGGCGCGGGGGGCGAGGCGCGCGCCGCAGAGCCGCAGCTCAGCGAGCTGGCGCTGGCGCACTCGCGCCTGCAGCTCTACCTCGCCTTCCTGCGCCGCAACACTGCGGTAAGTAACGTGTGCGGCTCGCTGGCGGCGCGGGTGCGGGGCGCGGGGAGTGCGGGGGGCGCGGGGGGCGAGGCGCGCGCCGCAGAGCCGCAGCTCAGCGAGCTGGCGCTGGCGCACTCGCGCCTGCAGCTCTACCTCGCCTTCCTGCGCCGCAACACTGCGGTAAGTAACGTGTGCGGCTCGCTGGCGGCGCGGGTGCGGGGCGCGGGGAGTGCGGGGGGCGCGGGGGGCGAGGCGCGCGCCGCAGAGCCGCAGCTCAGCGAGCTGGCGCTGGCGCACTCGCGCCTGCAGCTCTACCTCGCCTTCCTGCGCCGCAACACTGCGGTAAGTAACGTGTGCGGCTCGCTGGCGGCGCGGGTGCGGGGCGCGGGGAGTGCGGGGGGCGCGGGGGGCGAGGCGCGCGCCGCAGAGCCGCAGCTCAGCGAGCTGGCGCTGGCGCACTCGCGCCTGCAGCTCTACCTCGCCTTCCTGCGCCGCAACACTGCGGTAAGTAACGTGTGCGGCTCGCTGGCGGCGCGGGTGCGGGGCGCGGGGAGTGCGGGGGGCGCGGGGGGCGAGGCGCGCGCCGCAGAGCCGCAGCTCAGCGAGCTGGCGCTGGCGCACTCGCGCCTGCAGCTCTACCTCGCCTTCCTGCGCCGCAACACTGCGGTAAGTAACGTGTGCGGCTCGCTGGCGGCGCGGGTGCGGGGCGCGGGGAGTGCGGGGGGCGCGGGGGGCGAGGCGCGCGCCGCAGAGCCGCAGCTCAGCGAGCTGGCGCTGGCGCACTCGCGCCTGCAGCTCTACCTCGCCTTCCTGCGCCGCAACACTGCGGTAAGTAACGTGTGCGGCTCGCTGGCGGCGCGGGTGCGGGGCGCGGGGAGTGCGGGGGGCGCGGGGGGCGAGGCGCGCGCCGCAGAGCCGCAGCTCAGCGAGCTGGCGCTGGCGCACTCGCGCCTGCAGCTCTACCTCGCCTTCCTGCGCCGCAACACTGCGGTAAGTAACGTGTGCGGCTCGCTGGCGGCGCGGGTGCGGGGCGCGGGGAGTGCGGGGGGCGCGGGGGGCGAGGCGCGCGCCGCAGAGCCGCAGCTCAGCGAGCTGGCGCTGGCGCACTCGCGCCTGCAGCTCTACCTCGCCTTCCTGCGCCGCAACACTGCGGTAAGTAACGTGTGCGGCTCGCTGGCGGCGCGGGTGCGGGGCGCGGGGAGTGCGGGGGGCGCGGGGGGCGAGGCGCGCGCCGCAGAGCCGCAGCTCAGCGAGCTGGCGCTGGCGCACTCGCGCCTGCAGCTCTACCTCGCCTTCCTGCGCCGCAACACTGCGGTAAGTAACGTGTGCGGCTCGCTGGCGGCGCGGGTGCGGGGTTTATTACTTTTTTTAAATAAAACAGGAACAAACGCATTTCTTAATTTCTTTCTTTTTAATGCTATTCTAAGTTGTATGACTCTTTTTCTGGCTAGGATTCCACCTGTTCTCGCCCGCTCTCAATCGACTGAAGAAGTTACGGAAAATTAACCGTAACTTAATTCTCCATGTATTAAGGTCATGGAGACCGTCTAATAGTACATGTAGAAGTCTTTGGACACCCATTTACTTATTTCTGCTGCTGCTGTGTTCCGTTCTGAAAGTTTGGTATAAAGAACCAGAATAATTAAATTCTATGAGGTTATTCCGTCTGAGTCCTCAGAAGAAACAACGCATCTGTTGCGTTTGCTTTGCTTGAAGTAGCTACTTATCAAGTGGACTATAAGTCCGTTTAATGTTTCTTTAAAAAAAATCCTCTCCATTTTTGACACTCACAAACCTTTGCTATTGGTATGTTCGGCCGCCCATACTTCGACCCTTGTAGACTTTTATGTGTGCAGAAAAACCGACACTGGATAGCAAAATGCAAATATGTATTCAAAATTTGTTCTCATAAACAAATGCCTGTACCACACTTATACACTGTGTTTTTTTTTTGGTTTTTAAACCGTATTTGCATATTTAATCCAATAAAAAACTAAGTGTAGTGGCAGCTTTCATCCAACTTCTGTCAATGTTTCAATTTTATCACATTTATAGTTCAATCGTTAAAAGGAAATGGATCATCAAAACTAATGATTTACGATAAACCGTCAAAGTAATAATGGCAATTTAGATAAATTACAAATATGTTATAATTTCTGATGCTATAATATTTCGCGCCATCATGTTGCGCTTTCTGTCTTCCCTGCCTCCGTTAAATTTCAAATATGCCATAAGAAGAAATATGACATACTATGCTGTATTAAATGTTAAAATAATAACTATCGTTTATCTAAATGTCGAATTATTAAAAGATGTTTTATTTTTAGTCGGATACGGCAAATTTACCAGAAGCCGAAAGGAAATCTTGCATTGAGGCCGTGGAGAAAATCATACAGGAAAGTGACCTAATGCGGACCGCACAAGATCTGCTAAGTCATTACCTGGAGCTGGAGAGGTATGGCGCGATTTATTAATTATTCAAATCAATTTCTTACATCATATTAGAATGAAATAGGTGTATTAATCTGTGTGATATTATCATAAAATTTTTTGGCTTTTAATAATTTTTCATAATGTAATAAATTCTTGAAATGATCCCGTGTTAAAATTAATAATTATACAATAATAACGTTAAAATTAATAATCAAATCAGAACAAATCAAACAGACGGGCACATAATTTTAAACTACTTTATTTTAATGTTAGAAGTAAACGAACGTCAGTTGAATGTTATCGTTATATTAAAGTGTACCTACACTTTAAAATGATAGAATATAAAAATTAGAACATACATACATAAACACTCACGCCTGTCACCCAGAGGGGTAGGCAGAGATTATGGACTTCCATTTGGCACGATCCTGACACACCTCTCTCGCTTCCTCCACATCCATATACCTACGCATACACGCTCGTCGGTTAAAGGTACTCTTGATATAGCCCATTTTTAATATATCGCCAATTTGGTCGATAAACTTTCGCCTAGGGCGATCCTTCCCGACTATGCCGTTCACCTCTGCAACATAAATTTGCTTTGTCACTCTTTCCTCATTCGTTCTTTCTACATGGCCAAACCACCGAAGCATTCCTTTCTTAATCCTGGTCACAACATCATCTTGCAAACCACACTCTTCTCTTATTAAACAATTTCTCACTCTGTCATTCAGCTTCATCCCTAACATACTCCTTAATGAACGCATTTCTACAGCATTTATTCTACTCTCATGCTTCTTCTGCCACACCCAACTTTCACTACCATACATTAAAGTAGGTACTAACACAGCATTGTGAATTGCCATACGTGCCTTTTTGGACACATTCTGACTTTTCACAATAGAGTGTAGAGCCCCATTCACTCTATTTCCTGCATTCACTCGTCGTTCTATATCCTTATCATATCTACCATCCCTGCTAAACACACATCCCAAATATACAAACTCATCTACTTGCTCTACCAAAAATTATAAAAAAAATTAGAACAATTATTATTTATTATATTATTCAACTTATATTACAAACACGGCATTTATGCTTTTATCACTGGTTCGGAAAAAAACCTATGCCCTGGAAAGAATAACGAGAAAACCAACAAAACTTTTAAAAAATCTGTATTAATTTATAATGTATGTTCATCATCATTATCATCATTACAGCCCTTCACAAGTCCACTGCTGAACATAGACCTAACCTAAGGAATGCCACAAAGCACGGTCCTGAGCCACCTGCATCCATCGACTCCCTGCATGTCTTACCAGGTCGTCACTCCATCTAGTGGGGGGTTGCCCTACACTTCGCCTACCGGTACGAGGCTGCCACTCGAGAACCTTTTTTCCCCATTGGTTGTCGGCTTTTCTAGTTATATGGCCGACCCGTTGCCACTTCAGCTTACTAATCCGTTGGGCTATGTACGTCACTCTGTTTCTACTGCGGATATCCTCATTTTTAAGTTTATCACGCAGATAAACCCCGAGCATAGCTCGCTGAGCGAATTTGAGCTTCCTTATACGGCCAGCAGTAAAATACCACATCTCAGATCCATAAGTCATCACTGACAACACGCACTGGTTGTACAAATTTTGAGGTATACCTAAGGAGAAGATGTGTCGTAATTTCCCGAATGCTGTCCAGCCGAGTTGAATCCGTCAATTGACCTATCGGTCGAAATTGGACTTACCTAGTGGGACTATTTGTCCCAGGTAAACATACTCGTCAACAACTTCGAGCTTCGTGCTCTCAACAACTACCGGCATAGGTGCGACATGGACGTTAAACATGATCTTTGTTTTGTCCATGTTCATCTTAAGACCTTACCGTTGGGAGGCACTATTGAGGTCATTGAGCATATTGCTTAGGTCCTCCAGCGATTCTGCCATAAGGACAATATCGTCGTAAAATCGAAGGTGCGTGATGTACTCGCCATTGATGTCAATACCGTATCCTTTCCAGTACAGTAGCTTGAAAACGTCTTCCGATGCAGCGGTGAAAAGTTTCGGGGATAAAACGTTACCCTGTCTTACACCTCTCTGCATTTGGATAGGTTTCGTACTCTGGTTCTGTACTCGGATAGTCATCGTAGCTTTACTGTACAAACACTTCAGCACTTCGATATGCCGATAGTCAACTTAGCACCGCTAAAGGGACTGCAGCATCTCCCAAATTTCGATGGAATCAAAGACTTTCTCATAGTCCACATACGCAAGATATAGTGGCAGATTGCACTCCTCGGTCTACTGTACAATTTGCCGAAGGGTATGTATGTGGTCTATGATGCTAAAGCCTTTTCGGAAACCGGCTTGTTCGGGAGGTTGGAAGTCGTCGTGTGTATGTATGTTCATATTACAATTATATTACACAAAGCAGCATGTGAAGCAGCTTGGTAGCGATCACCTCATTCCTAAGTGATTATAACAGTTACAATGTATACATCAATATTATAATATGGGTATACGAATTTAGTTAGATAGATAGGCCCTAGGCATATTTTCTGAGATGTTTTGTAAAAACAATTATATTAAAATAAGTGTTCGCAATTAGACGTATCCTATAATGTCAAAAAAATTTAAATTTAGCTTAATAATGGTATTTGAACTGATTTTTACAAAAATCAAGAAATGAGGTAATTGTTGATAAAAATAACACCCAAAATGTACAGTTATAATGTACATTTGTATAGAAAAAAAATTATAGACATTTCATATTTAAATATAAAAAATCAAAAAAGAAATGGCCCATGAGGGGATCGAATCCGCGACCTTCGCGTTATTAGCACGACGCTCTAACCAACTGAGCTAATGGGCCTTGTTATAAATTGTTTAAATTTCAGTATGTACTAAATCAACAAGAAATAAAAATAAAATGTTAATATAGATCTAAATGAACATTATATCAAAAAACATTAAAGTTTAATTTCATTTACCTTTCTGTTTTGGCTCCTATCTATTATCGACTATATAATGATGCCATAAAAATACATTATTCAATAAACACGTCCACTACATCTTGGTCTCCCTTACTATTGCATATACATGTGCATACAGGTCTTACAATGTGATTTTGTATAAAATGGTCTTAATTTTTGCATAACTTTTGCGACTTGCATTTTGGTTATTTCACTATAAAATATGCTATATGTTGGCCATGGATTTATTGTATCACTGACCATAAAAATGAAATGGTCACTCCATTGCTTTGAAATTCGTTCTTCAAATTAAATATTGCTGAAATTTTGCTATTACTTTTTTAGATTTTGTTACATTATGTTATTAAAAAATATTTTTTAGTGTATCTATTAGCACATACACTTGAGACACAAGTTAATCCTACTTGAGGTACCTGTTATTGTAGACTGTTTTTAGATTAAGAGGGCCCTTCCCGGCCCGTCTATCGTCAACGCGAGCATGGTTAAAAAGCTTGTTGTTTCATCCAGCGCAATGTTAGAAAAAGAGGCAAAGCGAAAAGAGAAAGACAGCGCCTGAGCGTTCGGTTGGCATTCGGTAACTTACGGGCTCGCTACTATGGCGCATAGCTATAGTTTTGTAAATTTCTCTGCATGCCTACATTTAGTAGGTACCATATTATTTTATTATATTACTCTTTGTCTAGTATAGACGTGCCACTTGGCCTCGGAGATATGTGTGTGTTGTTTTTTACCAAACTAGGTATTGTACGTGCGCTATTTTTGACATGGAAATTATTTATGTTATAATTATAAATATAATATATTAAAGAAATTATTTATGTTATAAATAATTTTATAATGTTATAAATATTTTTCCATGTAAAAAAATAATATTTCGCAAATAAAAATAACTGTCACTCACGAGTCGGCCAACTCGTGTGTGTAAGTACACTCGGCGACACATCAAGCTATACATTTCCAGTATAACATGGCCTCGCTTTGTTTCAATTTCCCGTACAATAAGAGTACCGCATAAACTGGTTTATATACCTTGATTTGTCGTCGTGCGTACAAGCCCGGCACGCAAACATTCACAACATATTAGTCGGCCGTTACACGCGCAAACATCAATACTCAGACATAAACTGGACTCAGTTTTGTTTTAGCAGGGTGTTCCATCCAAATTATATTGTTCGTCCATGTTATACCTAAACAGAGTACGAAAATGTAAAGGTAAATAATTTATTCTGCTTATGGAGTAGCGGTATAAACAGAATAAACTCTTTACCTGTCTAGGCCGTTTGTATTTAGGAAGCTGAAATTAGGTAACGGACCTACTTGTACCGTATGTAAATGTCTCCAAATGTTGTTTAGGTACTAATTTGTACCGTAGTACAGGCGGTTGATCACAAATAAAGTAGTCTAAATAGAGTTGGGTATAAATATATATTTTTATTCTAAAGAACTTTGTTACACTTTATGAACAATACATAAAACAACCCGGTTGTCGAGACGATTCCGATTTCCGAACACAAAGAGTTTACTGTCAGAAGTGATTGAAAATTTAGTAAAAAAACATATTATTATCTAATAACAATAGTAATATTCTCATTTTCAATAGTAATAAAATCGATCTGCTTCAAAATCCTTATCCAAACAAAGTCTGTGTCCGTATTCACAAATGCCAGGTTCGTTTCACATAATAAAATAGCTAAACCTTCGCTAGCAAAATCAGTGTCCGGTATAAAAAAAAAGATCGTTGTAGTAGGTAAAACAGATGTCACTAAATATAAAATGCAACGGCACATTGACGAAGCGCAGTCAACAAATTGAATACCTACTAACAATTCCGAGAGCCCAGAGAGCCGAACGCGTGCGCCACCGGCGCTCGTCATTCAACTCCCCCGTCTCACCCCGCCCCTACCCCGCACGACTTGTCCCCCGCATACCTCTTACCGCCACTTGGCTAATAAGCAAGTGAGAACGCGATATTATTGAACGAAAAATAGTGTGCGGGAATTTCATAAAACTTGTTCCAGGAAATACGTGTTTTTCAGTAACCCACAAATTTGTGAAATAAATTTTTGTCATTTAGTCAGTCTCCATTACATTGGCGAGGTATCTATAAAATAATTTCTTTACTTTTACTATTAGTGAGTACATTATGAACGACCAAAGTTCAGGTAAAATTTATGCAAAAAAGCAGATTTTTGGAGGCTTATACTGAATTTGTTTCTACAAATATAGATTTTTTGTTTAGATAGGAACTTAGATATAGTGCACAAAATACCTATTAATTGTATTATATATTAAAATTTTCAAAGAAAGATGTATTACAACGCCATAATCACATACAAGCTTTTGTATGAAAAGTTAGACGGGTTGGCCGCTCTTAAGGCATTGTTTGAATGAATTGTACAGTTTATTGAAATAAATATTAAATAAATTACAAAACAATATACAGGTATTTCTTGGAAGAGAGTATCAACAAGGCAATGAAGCTCTCGGCAGCGCAAACGGGGCCGCCATCCAGTTTGGTGGACGATGTCTTCTTCATTGCCAGAAAAGTTATACGGTAAGTTATGTATAATGTAAAATTCTTAAAATATAAAATAATTTTACCAGTTTGCAAATATTCCTTTTATATACAAGTGAGATTTTATACCGTAAGAAATAATTTAAAATTAAACATTTTGTACCACCGACTTCAATATAAATGATTATTAAGAATAATTCAAAAACTATTGGTCAGACCTTGATCAAATTTATATGGGATCACATGAGAAGCAACAGCTTTCAAAAAACAAGAATCGTGGAAATCGGTTCACGCAGAAAAAAGTTACGAGGTAACACACATAAAAGAGAACATACAGTCCGTACGGATAAAGAATGGGATTAGAAATGGCGCCTTATCGAGCCCGTACCGTCAACATGCACAGTACCAATAGCGCAAACAACGTTATAACGATACACCGCTAATAACGGTACATCGTTGTAATGTTGTATTATTGAGTTAATTTAAAATTTTCTATTAATGGCAAAATATTTGACACGAATTTAATACTTAAGTAGGTATATTCATTTTATAATAACATTTATAACTAGCGACCCGGTCTGGCTTTCCCTGGGTGGAATTTATTAATGTGGCGTTATTTAGAAAAAAAAATATTTACATTTCCCATTGACCCACATTATCAATTTATCTTTTATTCAAGGCATATTTCCAACTAGACTAAAATTTTCTATCGTTAAATCACTATACATGAAAGGCGATAAAAGTCATATTAACAATTATCGGCCCATAATACTTATACCTGTTTTATCTAAAGTATTTGAAAAGGCCATATATACTAGAATCTATAATTTCATTACCAAACATGAAATATTAAAGTCAGAACAATATGGGTTTACAAAAAATAAGTCAACGACTTTAGCATGTTTCAACTTAGTAAAACTTATAACAAGCAGCCTAAACAACAAAATACCTATAACATCCATTTTCATTGATATGTCAAAGGCATTTGACTTTGTAAACCACGAATTTTGTTACACAAACTCAACAGATATGGTATAAGAGGTAATGCACTAAAATTAATAGAAGATTATTTAAGTCAACGAAAACAGTGTGTTGAGGTATCAAGCTACTCTGGACATCGTAAAAAAATTATAGATCACGATATCGCGAAAATATCTGCAGAGTGCCGCAAGGAAGTATACTAGAACTTCTATTATTCATAATTGTGCACGACGCAACAATATTAAACAAACGAAAGAAAATGCTTATTGTAACCGGCGCTAGTTGAACAACCTAGGAGCGGTGGGCGGAGCCAGGACGACGGTGTAATTATCAGGCCACGCCTCTGGTTCGACAACTAGCAAGGGTTATACGGCGGAACTAGCGCAACCTTATGTTGAATTTAAATTATAATTTGTGTAAATAATTGTATTACTTGTATCGAACGATAAAAAATAATGATTGTATTATAACTAAGTTTAAGGTTGAGTTGTAACTGTGCAATAACTCTCCCAAATAAAGGCACCGTATGAACAGGGAGAGTTAGCATAGTCTTCTAATGAAAACTATAATTGTTAAATATAATAAATGTTTACTTTATTATATAATAAATATATTAGGCCGTTAGGCACATAAAAAAATAGTAGTAGTGTAACCAAAGAGCATGTTATCGTGACGCGGCCGCGGAGCAAATGAAGCCACGCGCACCGCGCCACGACGTTTTATATTTATAGTGCTGAGGCGGGGGGAAGGATTCTCCGCCTAAAGCAGCTGAAAATTATAATGTAAACCCGTAAATAAGTAAAAATATTGATATGTACACCCTAGTCTAACAAGTAGTTATAAGAATATTATATAGTGAATTATGTTTATTAGTTTGTAAGGTTATTAAATAAATAAAGATAGGCGCGGGGGTGAGGCAAGGGTCCGCTGGCCAGCAGCGGCCAAATCATATAAAAGACGGGCCGGCCGCTAGGGTCAGCTCGCTCTCCAGCCACCGAAAAGGCACCAGCAAGAAAAGAAAAAGTACAAGTTCCTCCTCACCGCCGCTTGCCTCCAGTTAAAAGCAAGACCAGCGCGTTTTATTCCATTTTTCGCACGGCATTACGGCGATCCGTAATAATAATAATATACATAAACGATCTTTCCAACATAACTACACACAAATGTGTGCTGTATGCTGATGACATTGCCAGTAATATTGTAAATAATAATAAAACTTTTGACTACAAACACGAAATAAATAGGACTTTAGAAAAAATAATAGATTGGTTAAAGCGTAATAATATACAAATTAACATTGGAAAAACTAAAATGATAAGATTTCAGACATATAATTGTATAGTGCAACCGTACATTTTTTTTTTTGGTGAGCGATTTATTTAGATCAACATCATTTGCGTCATTTATTTTATTTTTCAAGCAGTCGTGTTTTTCTATATCATTATCAATTTTGTATCGATATCATTATTTAGTTTAAATAAAATAATTTTTTCTTATATCATATATCATTTAAAGGTGTTCCGTAAGGTCAACTTTAGGTGACTTCGGGCTGCTACTGATAATTTTTTGTCAGAAAAATCCAATGGCTGATCTTTAGTCGCGTTATCAATTACTAGGCCATAGCGTTACACATGACTAAAGAAGTTATAGAAAATTGGGCGTAACTTAGTGCGTAATGTATTACTACCGTAGTGCCCGTCTAGTAGTATACATAGGAGTTTTTTTTTCCAATTGGGATGTTGAGTGAAGTGTATGCGTCGCTGGCGCGTGGTGTACAGGCGCGGTATCAGCACGGGCAGCGTGGACGGCGCGTGCGCCGTGCTCAACGAGGCGGCGGCGGCGCTCGAGCGCTGCGCGGCCGCCAGCCTGCGCCGCCGCCTGGCCGCGCCGCCGCTCGACCCGCTGCCGCTGCCCGCGCCGCCGCCCGCCCCGCCCGCCGCGCCCGACGCGCGCGACCTCGCCGCGCAGCGCGCGCTCTACCTGGTCAGTGCAGTACCGCGCCACACTCACTGCACACATACACTCTACACACAACATATATACACACGACCCGCTGCCGCTGCCCGCGCCGCCGCCCGCCCCGCCCGCCGCGCCCGACGCGCGCGACCTCGCCGCGCAGCGCGCGCTCTACCTGGTCAGTGCAGTACCGCGCCACACTCACTGCACACATACACTCTACACACAACATATATACACACGACCCGCTGCCGCTGCCCGCGCCGCCGCCCGCCCCGCCCGCCGCGCCCGACGCGCGCGACCTCGCCGCGCAGCGCGCGCTCTACCTGGTCAGTGCAGTACCGCGCCACACTCACTGCACACATACACTCTACACACAACATATATACACACGACCCGCTGCCGCTGCCCGCGCCGCCGCCCGCCCCGCCCGCCGCGCCCGACGCGCGCGACCTCGCCGCGCAGCGCGCGCTCTACCTGGTCAGTGCAGTACCGCGCCACACTCACTGCACACATACACTCTACACACAACATATATACACACGACCCGCTGCCGCTGCCCGCGCCGCCGCCCGCCCCGCCCGCCGCGCCCGACGCGCGCGACCTCGCCGCGCAGCGCGCGCTCTACCTGGTCAGTGCAGTACCGCGCCACACTCACTGCACACATACACTCTACACACAACATATATACACACGACCCGCTGCCGCTGCCCGCGCCGCCGCCCGCCCCGCCCGCCGCGCCCGACGCGCGCGACCTCGCCGCGCAGCGCGCGCTCTACCTGGTCAGTGCAGTACCGCGCCACACTCACTGCACACATACACTCTACACACAACATATATACACACGACCCGCTGCCGCTGCCCGCGCCGCCGCCCGCCCCGCCCGCCGCGCCCGACGCGCGCGACCTCGCCGCGCAGCGCGCGCTCTACCTGGTCAGTGCAGTACCGCGCCACACTCACTGCACACATACACTCTACACACAACATATATACACACGAGCCGCTGCCGCTGCCCGCGCCGCCGCCCGCCCCGCCCGCCGCGCCCGACGCGCGCGACCTCGCCGCGCAGCGCGCGCTCTACCTGGTCAGTGCAGTACCGCGCCACACTCACTGCACACATACACTCTACACACAACATATATACACACGACCCGCTGCCGCTGCCCGCGCCGCCGCCCGCCCCGCCCGCCGCGCCCGACGCGCGCGACCTCGCCGCGCAGCGCGCGCTCTACCTGGTCAGTGCAGTACCGCGCCACACTCACTGCACACATACACTCTACACACAACATATATACACACGACCCGCTGCCGCTGCCCGCGCCGCCGCCCGCAAAGTACGGGATCAGAGGTCTTTTTTAATCTTGGCTTAAAACATATTTAGAACAAACAACAATATGTTGTTTGAGATTGTTTAAATTAAAAAATAAATAGGCAAATAGTACCCAAGTATATGGTCGTGTAAAAGCATAGATGTGTTGTGTAATACCAGGAGCACATAAACGAGGCGGAATCCGGCGCGGAGTGGTCTGAGCGCCTGGCTAGCGAGGCGGTGGGTGCGGGTGAGGCGTTGTGCCGCTGCGAGGTCGAGCGCGGCAAGCTGCGGTCGTGCGCCGCGGGGCTGGGCGCCGCCGCCGCCGCCTTCCGCCACGCGCGCGCCGTGGCGCTGGCGGCGCTGCGGGCCGCGCTGCAGCCGCGCCTGCACGCCTGGGCCGCGCGCCTCGCCGCGCCCGACCGCACAGGTGAGTGTGCAGCCTCGCCGCGGGCCGCGCTGCAGCAGAGCCCGACTGCACAGGTCAATGTTTTTTTTTTATAGAATGGAGGTGAAAAACTAACACATAATCGCCATAATAACTGGATGTTGTTGCCCATAATGTAGACATGTACATTAATGCTCGATTAAGAATCAAAATGCAGATGCATTGTCACTCCTGAGGACTAAGTAAGAAGTCAGTAAAAAGTGTCTCCGGTTCTCCACACTCACCATACGTAACATAGCAGCATGAGCAAGAGCTTGATCCTACCCTGGTGGAGTTCCTACTACAACCATATAGCTGCAACGTGGTTCTACCACGGAAATCAAATGTGAAAAATATCAATTGCTGATCCCTACAATAATAATCCATAAGACATAACACATAGTGTTAGTAAATCGCTGAAATAAATCAATCTTGCTGTTACGGCCCACAGCTGCCCCTGCAAAGGTCAAATATTCCGGGGCCCATGAGCGGAAGATTCAACGGGAAGCCGCGGGTTCTAGCCTGAATGGCCATATAGAAAAATGTCCTATCATACTAAACTATATGGGAGAAGGCTAGGAAAATATATCCCAATCTAAGACCGCCCCCAGGCTCGGTCAGGCCGTAGGTAGGTGTAAGGTGCATGGGAAGTGGTGTTTAGTGATGTGTATGTGTGTCGGCAGCGGCCGATTTCCAGGCTGCCCCACAATACTGCATCACTCCAGCAGGCTTCCCCGCTGGACCATTTCTTTCTTCATGTCACTATTTCAGTCTATCAACCTTTATGTACAACTGTACAAGTTAACTAACTTCAACTCAACTCATACAACGTTCATCGGTGAATCGAACACGTGATAACCGACTCAAGTAACGCACAGTAGGTCACAGTTCAGCATTACAAACTACAACTAAATTCCTTCGTTCGATATCAAATACTACGCCGCGATAAGAATTCAAAATACGCCTCGTTGACACGTAAAACTAATAAAACAGTCAACACACAAAAAAGGGCACTTAACGCGACGGCACAATTACAATGATCTCCAAAACAGTCAACCGGCGACGCCCTCGAAAAGAGGAATGCGCTGTCCAAATTCTAAACCGTATCTCTAAACGGCGCGCGCGGAAATTCCACGTATACGAGCAAGTTAAATATTGCAAAATACACTTCAACACGCAATCACTAGATAATTGGCGTAATTACCTTCAAACGAAATTACATTAATCAGTCAAACACAATACAAGCCTCCTGTCGCGAACTTATAACGTAGACAACCAAACCGTGGCGGTTTTCACGAAATCACAATCCAGTAGCGAAGTAACGCGCACAACTTTCAAAATTCTAGACCCTAATCCAAAAAAAACCGGTCTCGTGAAACTTCTGCCGGGATAACCGAGATACGCGGATTATCCGCACCGCTGCCAGCGAGCTACTCTCTCTTAGCCCAGTGCCGGAATCACCGGAGCCGGCATACCGCCCGCCCCCGCACCACGACTCGCGTGACACCTGGTACCATCGGGCGATTCACGAAGTCGAACGTGATTGGATGGCGTACAAATTACCTTTTTTGGGCCTAAATAATTAATAAATCAGCTCATTCCAAATCTATATTACAGAGATCGTTAACGTACATCAGGAAAAGAATCGGTCGTTATCATTTTATCATTTATTATGAATATCATCTTAAATTTAATAATTTAAGATTAATTTTAAATGATTTTTAAGTACTAAAAACTACTAAAAGTTTACACAAACAACTCCTACAGATTTCGAAAAGTATTTGTTAAAAAAAGTAGTTCTGGAGCACTCTTAGTTATGGACATGTCCCAAGGATCAATATTGGGACCATCAACATTGGTGCTCTTTTTAATATATAATATATGGGCGACGCCCAGTTGATTGTTTTGGACCGTCGCGTTAAGTGCCTTTTTTTGTGTGTTGACTGTTTTGTTAGTTTCACGTGTCAGTCAACGAGGCGTATTTTGAATTCTTACCGCGGCGTAGTATTTGATATCGAACGAAGGAATTTAGTTGTGTTTGTAACGCTGAACCGTTTGACTCATGAAGAGATCGCGTTAGTTCACTATTCGTAATTTGGTGATAAATGAATCCGGGACTTTGAATGTTGAACTTTGAACTACTGTCCGTTACTGTGTCGGGTATCACGTGTTCGATTCTACGATGAATGTGGAATTAGGCGAGTTTAAGTTAGTTAAATGTAAAATGAAGTTAATAGACTGAAATAGTGACATGAAAAAGAAATGGTCCAGCAGGGAAGCCTGCTGGAGTGATGCAGCATGGAAATCGGCCGCTGCCGATCACCTCAGCTGGGCCAGGCCTCGGACACATACACATCACTAAACACTACTCTCCATGCACCTTACACCCACCTACGGCCTGACCGAGCCTTGGGGCGGTCTTAGATTCGGATACAGGTACGTACTATATTTTTCTAGCCTTCTCCCTACAGTTTAGTATGATAGGACATTTTTCCATATGGCCATTCGGGCTCGAACCCGCAGCTGCCCGTTGAATCTTCCGCTCATGGGCCCCGGGATATTTGATCTTTGTAGGGGCAGCTGTGGGCCGTAACATTAATGTATCCAGAGGACACTGTCCTGCTATTTCATCATCAGACTTGGGATAGAGTGCAAACTCGTACCATAAGAGAAGTCTGTGAGGTTTCGAAGGCTCTGGAAAATAGTTTGCTATCGTTAAACATAGAAACAGATACAAATTCCTCCAGCAGTTTTAAGGTCAAGATGCACACTTTCCCATGCAATGCAGTAGACAATATAATTGTAAAGAACTAGAAATAGTTAAACACGTGCGATATCTAGGAGTGACAATTGACGAAAAACTAACTTGAAACCGTCATATTTCATATCTCACGAGTAAAGTAAGAAAGCTCATTTATATTTTTAAGAACCTAAGCAATTTGCAGATAGCGATCATATGTGTACAAGGCTCTTTGCCAATCTGTTATAGCGTATTGTATTGCAGTGTGGAGAGGTGCAGCGAAAACTCATACGTTGGGACTGGAAAGGCCTCAAAGAGCTATTCTAAAAGTGCTATGTCTTCTCCCTTTTAAGTATCCCTCACACGCTTTGTATCAACACTGTAGGGTTCTAATTGTGAGACAATTATACTACCAATCTATATATCTCAGGTATCATAGGGAAGTTGTACCATCTTTGCCAACGTCTCAACAAAGGAGAGAGACATGTCCCACGGTACGGACTCGTACGGATTTTGCCAAGCACCAATATTAGGCGTTGGTGTATAATAAATTAGGTGATATTCAACAACTACGAAAATTTAATACCTATAAATTAAAGAAATATATAGAGGACTTCATGAATAAATTGAATTACAAAGATACAGAACACATGATGGACATTTCTTATATTTACGCGAACACTACACATTTTTAAATAAAACTAATTTTACGGATTTTATCGCGTATATTAACTTATTTTTATATTCCCGACGTTTCGGGTGCTTTCCAGCACCCGTGGTCACGGGGGACTGAGGTGTTTGACGTCCTGCTGTTATAGTTAGCCCGGCTACCTTCAGTTTTTTAATATTAATTTTTTTTTAAAGAGATGTATTTAAGTGACCTTTATCCGAACGTTAAATGTGAATAGTGTTTATTGGTTTCGGTGCGAGAAATTATCGAATCCGAGTCGATTTTGCTTTCCTAGACGATTGTGAATAGGGTGTGGCAAAATTTCGAAGCTCACCTTCTGCAGGGCAGCTATCGCAACATGGCACTTGTGAACAGGCACGTTGTCGTGCAGAAGAAGGATGCCTTTGGTCAATTTTCCCCTTCTTTTCTCCTTTATGGCTACCTTCAATTGTTCTGGGTTTGAAGCGTAGTAATTTCCGGTTATGGAGACACATTTGTCTTTATAATTAATCGATAGGATTCCTTCTGAGTCGCAAAATACTATCGCCATGATTTTCCCAGCCGATTGTGCCACCTTAAATTTCTTGGGTGGTGGTGTGCCTTTTTTGTGCCACTGCATAGAGTTCTGTTTGGACTCAGGTTCATAATGGTGAACACAAGTTTCTTCACCAGTAACAATTCGAGCCATCACTCCATCTTTGTCTTCCATACAGAGGTCCAAAAATGCTCGAGAACACTCCACGCGCTGTTGCTTTTGAGGCGGAGTGAGCATTCTAGACACCCATCTTGCGCTGACTTTAAGTCATGCCAAGATCTTCATGAAGAATTTTGAAAATGGTTGTATCTGATACTCCAACCATTTCTGCGAGCTGTTTTTTCTTTAGACATCTTCTAATATAAATTTTTCGACTTTTTGAATAATTTCCGAAGTGGTCACCTCGATCGGCCTTTCTGGCCGTGGGTTGTCTTCAAGTGACTCTCTGCCTTGTTTAAAAAGGGTATGCCACTTATAAACCATAGTTTTACTTGGACAAGAGTCTCCGTAAACGGATGAAATCTCTTCCAGTATAGTCTGAACTGATTTTCCGCGCTTGGTAGGAAACTTTATAACGGCACGAAACTCGATTTTCTCCATATTTCACAATTTCTTCTCGATTGACTTGTTTGGTTGATGATACCTCAAAGACTAATGATATAATTACAATAAAACCCTCTGCACAGAAAGAACGACTCACTGGCCCATGCCGCAAAGGAGAAAGCCGATCTGTTGAGCTCTCTCTTTGCATCCAACTCGACTCTAGATGACGGGGTGAACACACCGCCGACCATTCCGCGATGTGAGTGCTCCATGCCAAATGTGCGGTTTACACAGTGCTCGGTTCGCAAAGCACTCTTCTCCTTGAACGTCAGCAAGTCGATTGGGCCCGATGGAGTCCCTCCCATTATGCTGAAGACGTGTGCTCCGGAGTTGGCACCGGTTTTAACTCGTCTTTTTCGGTACTCCTACTCCCAAGGCTTAGTCCCAAATTCATGGAAGACAGCTTTGGTCCACCCGATCCCTAAAAAAGGCGACCGCTCAGACCCGTCCAACTACAGGCCTATCGCCATCACCTCCTTGTTCTCCAAAATAATGGAATCCATTATAAACTGCCAGCTCATGAGGTACCTTGAGGATCACCAGCTGATTAGTGACCACCAGTACGGTTTTCGTCAGGGTCGATCAGCTGGTGATCTTCTGGTCTACATGACTCATAGATGGGTGGAGGCAGTAGAGTCCAAGGGGGAGGCATTGGCCGTTAGTTTGGACATAGCGAAGGCCTTCGATCTGGTCTGGCACAAAGCGCTTCTTTCGAAGCTTCCTTCCTATGGGCTTTCCGAGAAATTGTGCAAATGGATCACCAGTTTCCTTGCTGATCGGAGCATCAAGGTCGTAGTAGACGGTGCATGTTCTGATTTCAAACCTATCAACGCTGGTATTCCACAAGGCTGCGTGCTATCACCAACGCTGTTTCTCCTGCATATCAACGATATATTGCAAACTGGTAACATTCATTACTATGTAGACGACAGCACTGGTGATACCTTATATACCGGCCGTGCCAATATTTCTCGGGAAAACGTCGTCGAGTACCGGGACAAACTTGTGTCTGAAGTCGAGTCTTTGCTGAATAAAGTCTCGGATTGTTGGCGACTAAATCTAGTCCAGTTCAATCCCCAGAAGACACAAGTTTGCGCGTTTACTGCTATAGTTCTTTTTAGCGGTAAACGCCCCTTTGTCGTATCTCCTCAGTTTCAAGGCACTCCCCCTTGCTGCCTCAGCTAGCATCGGAATCCTTGGCGTCGACTTATCGAATAGTGCGCAGTCTCGTGGTCACTTGGAAAGGAAGGCCAAATTGGCCTCTAAAAAGCTTGGCGTGCTCAGCAGAGCGAGACAGTATTTCATGTCGGCACATCGCTTGCAACTTTACAAAGCGCAAGTTCGGGCTCACATGGAATCTCTGGGCCGTGGCACCCCAGTGCCAGCTCCTTCCACTTGACCGCATCCAGCTCAGAACGGTTCGATTCGTCTACGACCGAGTTCTTTCTGATCGGCTCGATGCATTGGCACTGCGTAGAGAAGTTGCATCTCTTTGCGTATTTTATCGCATCGATCACGGGAAGCGCTCTGAGGAATTGTTCGGACTAATTCCCGCCTCTCAATTTCACCATCGCACATCGCGACCAAACTCACGATACCATCCATACCATCTGGATAATTGGCGGTCCACCACTGTGCGATTCAGAAGTTTTCTCACTCGCACAACTTCCTTGTGGAATGGATTAGCACCAGCGGTTGTATCGGTAGATTCCACTTAGGAACCTTCAAGAAAAGAGCTTACACCTTCGATACGACTTAGAAACCTTCAAGAAAAGAGCTTACACCTTTCTAAAAGGCCGGCAATGCATCTGCGATTCCCCTGGTGTTGCGATTGTTAATGGGCGGCGGTAGTCACTTACCATCAGGTGAGCCGCATGCTCATTTGCCCCCTCTTCTATAAAAAAAAATCTCCACCGACTCCAACGTGGCGCTACTAACTCGTCGGCTCGTTGCGAACCTTTCGGCTTACGATCCGATGATACAGGAATAGAGAAAGATGAAACACCTTAGATAGGCCACAAAAAACACCTTTAACATCCTGTTTACACTCCCAAGCTTTGAATATATTGTTATTAATATTTTTATTTAATATTAAATAGTTAACTAACGGTGTGAAATATGATTACAGAGGAGATGGAAGAGGAGGTGAACGCGTTGACGGGCGCGCTGGACGTGCTGGGCGAGGCGGCGCGCGCGCAGCTGCCCGCCGCCGCCGACGAGCTGCTGGCCGCCGCCGTCGCCGACGTCGTGGCGCGCGCCGAGCACTGCGTGCTGCGCCAGCACTACGACCGGGTGCGTGTGCGTGTGCGTGTGCGTGTGTGTGCGAACGGAATGTAAGACGATGAAACAAATGGAAGGTTACATTGATGATAGGTACTGTGTGAGCGAGCGAAGATAAGTGAGAGTGAAGCATGATGGCAATAGACAAATGTAGTGATTAATTTGCTTTTTGGTATTACAAGACGTTATTTTTTTTTCGAAACACCAACATCTTTTATACATTTCAATTATATATTTTTTTTAAATCTATAAATTTTTTCAATTTACTATATATAGCTATCGCACAGACTCGACCACTATCATCCAGATAGTATGGATGATATCGCAAGTTTTGTCGCGATGTGCAATGGTGAAATTTTGCCGCAAAAATTAGACCGAACAATTTTTCTGAGCACTTCTCGTGATAGATGCGATAAAATATGCTAAGATATGCAACATCTCTTCGTAGCGCCAAGCCGATCAGAAAGAACTCAGCCGTCAATTATTCAAACCGCTCTGCGCTGGATACGATCTAGTGGAAGGATCTAGGATTGGGATGCCCCGGCCCAGAGATGACGCAAGCAGTGTGCCGGCATGAACTACTGTCCCTCTCTACATAGCACGCCAAACTATTTAAAGGCCGTTTTGGGCTTCCTTTCCTAGTGAGCGCGAGACTGAACGTTATTCGATATGTTGACGCCGAGGATTCTGAAATTGAGGAGACACGACAAAGGGTTTCTTATTAGCGGTAAACGCGCAAACTTCTTCAAGTCTTCTAGGGATTGAACTGGACTACATTTAGTCGCCCCCAATACAATACTTTGTTCAACAGAGACTCGAATTCAGACAAGTTTATTCCGACACACGACGACGTTTTTCCGAGAAATATTAGTACGGCTGGTGTATCTATGTAATAATGAATGTACGATAGCACGCAGCCTTGTGGAACACCAGCATTCACACGATCGGAGTCGAAGCATATACCATTGACTACGATCTTAATGCTCCGATCTGAGAGAAAACTGGTGATCCAATTGCATAATTTTTAGTGAAGGCCATAACATGGAAGCTTCGAATAAGCGCTTTGCGCCAAACCCGATCGAAGGCCTTTGCTACGTCTAAATCAACCGCCAAAGCCTCCACTTGGACTCGGCCTTTCCTAATACACTGCGCCTATCAGTGTATTAGGTAAACAAGAAGATCACCAGCTGAGCCACCCCGACGGAAACCGTACTACTACACTCTAATCAGCTGGTGCTCAAGGTACCGCATGAGCTGACAGTTAATAATGAATTCCTTTATTTTGGAGGAAACAAGGTGATGGCGATAAGCCTGTAGTTGGACTGATCAGAGCGGTTACTTTATTATCGGGTACATGAAATATGTCTACCATGAATTCGGGGGTACAACTACGGAGTAGGAGAACCGGAAAAGACGCGTTAGAACCGGTGCCAACTCTTGACCACACGTTCTCAGCACAATTGGAGAGAATCAGGCACTCGACTTGTGGATGTCCAGGGTGAGGGGTGATTTGCGTACTGAGCACTCGTTGAATCGCACATAAGGCATAGAGCATTCGCACCGCGGGATGGTCGGCGGTATGTTCCCCCTGTCATCGAGAGGGGAGTTAGATGCAAAAAGAGAATCTAAAAGGACAGCCTTCTCTTATACAGCGTGGACCAGCGAGTCGCCCTCCCTGTGCAGAGAGGGGAGTGATGGTTTACAGAAATTCCCATGGACAGCCTTGATAAGAGTCCACACACGGGTTCCCGAAGGAAGGCGAACTAATTTCTCACCAATTATGCCAATGCGCTCATACTTGGCAATAACTCTTGAAGGACCTGGATGCCGAGTTATATTTCTTTTTAAGGATGCTGGTGTTTATATCCCCGGCCGCTGATGCGTCAGCCCAGGCGGAAAAACACTCCTGCTTACTGCTTAATTCAGTTTTACAGGAGCGATCAAACTAAGGATGAGATCTGCCGCCTATGGGTACCACAGATGATATAATAAATAGTTCCATTCCCTGAAGCACAACAACAAAAATCAGCAACAACGCTGGGATTATCCGACACGAATTAAACCCTTTCCATTACTAGGATGCAAAGAAAGACCACATTCCATCCCAATCCGCCGACCTATATTATACGCGACGGCAGCGTGCTGAAAGTAACCGTGATGGGGCATGAGTGGGCACCACATTCTGGATCAGATAATGGCCCGAAGAGCCGAGAGGGTCGACGACGGAGACCTGATATCCGCCCGGATTAGAGGTCAGCAGAAAGTGCAACAGGGAAGGGGCATGATTTTCCACATCTGATATCCACGTAGGCGAAGTAAGCAGTTGTATCACACCAAATGCCAGAAGTTATGAACAGATCTCCCCACATGATCGGTTAAACGTGAACAGGCCGAATGGCTCGGCCATTCCTAGTACCTTCAAGACTGCGAGAATAGATATCCTCTCTAATGTATACGCAAACTCCACTCCGGGACACAAAAAAGTGTTTCTATTTGTATCTCGGCCAGAAAGGTACGAAGTATCAGCCGTAGGGGACACCTGCGCCTCAATTAAAAAAGAGCAAGGCCGGCTTCGCTGTCTCCAGATAATAATGGACGGCTTTAAGCTTCGAATGAAGTCCCCTGATGTTGTAGAAGTCCACGACTAGCGTGGCAGGGAACGCCTTTGTTTTATCGCTCTGTTTGCCCCGTGCAATATTAGTAATGAGCGGAATTTTGCCCCCTCCATAATACGCGGAGCAGCCTGAGCGCCAAGGCTCAGGAAGATGAGGTAGCTTGGACGTGGATTCTCAGTGGGTGATTCTCCATTACCAGGGGTCTAAAAAAAAGACTACCCCAGGAGGGTGCCGGTACCCTCCTAGGCTAGTCTTTTTTTTTAAATTTCGCAACCATATAATGGGGCTGGGCTTCCAGCCACCCGCACTTACTATACGAAATGCAGAAGAAAAGCTTTTACTTCGAGTTTGTGGTACTTCCCCGGTTCGAGTCGGCCCATCCACCCATGTGGCTTAAGCATTTTTAAATTGAATTTCTGTTACGGCGGCCACTCTCAATGAAGACTTGCCATTTGCGCAGAACAGGATTATAATGTCCGTGTGCATACGCAAGCATAGGTGGACTCGCTTTTTCCTCATTCTCATAGTCCGATGGTTCGGCAATCCGACACGACCGGGGAGAGATCAGACGCAGGACCTATGACTTTATGTGCTTCGCGAGGCACGGAGGTGACATACCGCCAATTTCCTGACTCGGGGTTGCTACTGAGGATTTCTTGACATAGAAACCAATTACTTACTACTAACTTTATCCCGAACCGAGATACGAACCCAGGTTGATGAGCAATTGCATTTACGACCACTAGACCATAATGAGTCTGGTTATTTTTCAAAGACAAGACAAATTTAATAATTATGTCCAAAATATAAATACTGATACTATACACTTATTGCGGTTATTAAACATACGCGTAAATAAGGTTTCTACATTTCATTGAAAATATTTATTTATTTAACAATTTATGTACACACAAAATAATGTTACAATGAAGAAAAAAATAGATATTTTGAACAAAGGTACTGCTTATTTCATATTGAAATTTCTTCCAGCAGGCCTGATACTGGACAAATTAAAAGAGAAGCTGATCTAGTGTGCACTCTCATAATAAAATTTTATAATATTAATATACTTAACATAAAGATAATAAAAATATATATCCATGTAAACATACACATAAATAAATACCACTATAAATACATATACACACATACACACACACACACACACACACACATATATATATATATATATATTTATATATATATATATATATATGTGTGTGTGTGTGTGTGTGTGTGTGTGTGTGTAAATATAAAATGAGAAAAATAAAATATATATATATATATATATTACATATATAAATATAATAATATATTATATATACAATCATTGGGACGACAAAGAAAGATAGTGCTCTTTGACTCGCCTTTTGAACACGGGCACTGTTTGAGCCTCTCGAATTGCAGCAGGAAGAGAATTCCATAACCTAACTGTATGTACTGTAAAAGAGTGAGAATAGGACTTAGTTCTAGAGGAAGGGAAATTTAGGAGGGTTTTTAAATGTGATCTGCAAACTGCATCGGGGGAGAGCGCAAAGTGGAATCGATCACGTAGATACGGTGGTGATGTTGGATTGTATAGTATGTTAAAGAGGAGGCATAGGATTCGGATATTCCTGCGAAGTCGGATTGGGAGCCACTTCAGCTGTTTGCGATAGGAGGAGACGTGGTCATATTTTTTTAGTCCGAAAATATAACGAATACATAAGTTTTGCAAGCGCTCAAGTTTGTTTAATTGCTCCTCAGTCGCATCCAAATAACAGACATCAGCATAATCAAGAATCGGGAAAATAAGTGTTTGGACAAGAGAAATCTTCGTTGATAACGGCAGAAAATGTTGAAGGCATTTTAAGGAATGAAAAGTATAATTGATTTTCCTGCTAATTTCTGTGATATGTGCATTCCCTGTCAACTTGCAATCCATGATGATGCCCAGATTTTTAACCGTTTCGAAAATGCTTAGTGGAATGCCATTAATTTACAGAGTTGGCAGTGAAGAAAAGTCAAGTAATTTACGAGTAAACCTGGTGCCTATAATCATTGCTTGTGATTTTTTAGGGTTTATAACAAGTCCGTATGATCTAGACCACTCATCGATTTTATTTAGATCGTTATTTATTTCAAATAATGCTGAATTTGCTTCAGTCACTAGAAAATGACGATACAGCTGGAAATCGTCTGCATAGAGATGGAAGTTTGAAGATATCACCTGGGTGATACAGTTGATAAAGATGGAAAAGAGTAAAGGAGAAAGGACGCCACCTTTAGGTACACCCGTGGCTAGATTGCACCACTTAGATAAAGTTTCATTGATACGAATACACTGAGAGCGGCCACGTAGGTAGGAATCAAACCATTGAATGGTTGAAGGAGACACATTAATAGAATGAAGAATGC